TGATGTCGCACCCAAAAAAAAAGGTACTGAAGTCACAATTACATCACGTGAATGAACGTCCCTTCTGTTTTGTGTTAATAGTTTGGCATCATGGTGATCGAAGGATTTACAGTTACACCCAACGTTGTACTTCCAAAACATTTGTATCCACGAAACTGTTGTATGCTTGTGCAAGTATATATATACGCATACAGAAAACATTTTTCGTATGTTTAGTACATTGTCTTGTCACTCTCGGACAGCGCTGCACCGATCTGATAACTAATAAAGTGTCCGTTTCAGCAATATATAATAAATCATTTAAGTAGATTTTTAATTATAAATCTCATGATAAAAGAATTTCTCAATTTTATACTATATTCAACAGTCAACACTGAAATTCATACAACTTAAAAGTACTGAGATAAATAATTAAGGTTATATAGGAACAACATCGGTATGACTTTACAACATTACTCTATACTATATGGTTGAACTTAAAATATATAAAATCAGCATCGAACACAATGAATAGCTTGAAATATTTGGTTAAACTGCAGATATTTTTTGGGACACTGAAAGCAAGAAACCCAAAAATTGTGTGGATATATATTTCCGTAATGTTTTAGCCATTCCTTCAAGATATTCGAGAGCGAAGGCTCATTAAGATATTTTCATAGTACGATGATGATATATTTTTTAAAAATAAGTTAAGATAGAAAAAAAAAACAGAAGATACCTTTATAAATGGTCATTGCGGAGTCTTAAACGTGTTCATCAAAATTATTTATCTTAATGCAAAACAAACTTCAAAAAAAAAAAAATAGTTTAATGCAAAACAAAGAATGCCTAAACGACAGACTCATCCGCGTTTCACTCGCAAGGCTGCATCAAAAACACAGTCACAGCCTCCTGAAGCTCGTCGCTCTGCAAATTATCGACCGTCTTTTTGGGAGCACGATTATATCCTTTCCCTAGGTAATACATATGAGGTACGTACGTATAAAAATCTACAGGACGTTGTGTTAATTCAAACTATGTACATATTTTAGTGCTCAAGAAGTTATAGTGATATAATTTTTACCATGCAGAAAGAGGACAGCATCGAGAGAGTTAAATTGTTGCAGCAAGAAGTGAGTAAAATGATGAACGAAACAGAGGGTTTACTCGAACAGCTAGAGCTAGTCGACACTTTACAAAGACTCGGAGTTTCTTACCATTTCGAAGGTGAAATCAAGAAGATTCTAACGAATGTGCACGTAAAAGTTGCAAGACACGTAAACAGGGTAGATCGGAAGAGATCGGAAGACTTATGCGCGACTGCCCTCAAGTTCCGACTCCTAAGGCAACATGGTTTTAATATCTCACAAGGTTGGAAGCAAAAATCTGGATCTGTATGCTAATTCTGCACTTGAACAAACAAAACACATAATTAGAATAAATCACTTTTATTATTAATGTATTTTATACAACCAAATAAAATTGTGAACTAATGCAGATGTATTTGACGGAAATTTTGGAGATGGTTTGTATGATGAAGACATCAAGAGTGTTCTTTCACTATACGAAGCTTCATATCTCTCGACCATATTCGATACTAAATTGAAAGAGAGCATATACTATACAACAAAACGACTTAGAAAATTCGTGGAAATGAAGAAGCCTGACACCAAATCTTGTATTCAAAAGATGGTGATCCGTGCGTTAGAAATGCCGTACCATCGGAGAGTTGGAAGACTAGAAGCGAGATGGTATATAGACGTGTACGGAGATACACATGACATGAACCCTGACTTGCTCGAATTCGCCAAACTTGATTTCAATTTCGTGCAAGTTATTCATCAAGACGAGCTCAAATCACTATCTAGGTGAGTTAACTAACACATGATTCATGGACTTTGAAATTTTTTCATTTACGTTTTTGTTTATGCCAGGAACCACATATTAAGTACTAAAATATAAAGAATATGGGTTCTCTACTATTAATTTTGAGTAATAATTTCTTGGTCATATGTAGGATTCAATTCGAGAAGAAATAAACAAATCATTTAAAGGGATGTGGTAAAAATCTCTCATATTATACGTAACTAGGTTTGAAGCCCCGCGCGGGGTTGTTTGCGATAGTTTTTTATTTAATTTTATTTACTCCTTCATTTGAATTATGATGGTTTTGTATTAACTTTCATGTTTTTGTTATGTTTTAGTTAACTCAACCACTAACATTAAATATATGAATAATTTGTTTTTTATTTTAATTTATTAGGATATTAACACCCTGCTTTATCTCGAGTTTTCTAGGATTCAATTCGAGAAGAAAGAAACAAATCATTTAAAGGGATGTGGTAAAAATCTCTCATATTATACGTAACTAACTAAGTTTGAAGCCCCGCGCGGGGTTGTTTGCGATAGTTTTTCTGTTTAATTTTATTTATACTCGTTGATTTGAATTATGATGGTTTTGTATTAACTTTCATGTTTTTGTTATGTTTTAGTTAACTCAACCACTAACACTAAAAAATATGAATAATTTGTTTTTTATTTTAATTTATTAGGATATTAACACCCCGCTTTATCTCGAGTTTTCTATTTCTAAAATTTATCATGTTATAAATATTATGTTTGTTTACTTTTTTTTTACTTCTATTAGACTGTAAACATGTATATGTATTTGATTGAAGGTTAAAATTTATAAATATGTATATGCATTTGACTGAAGGTTAAAATTTGTAAACATATTCTTGTTTTTCACTACAATTAAATTTACATATAAAACTCCATTTCTATTTGTTTAGAAAAACAAACTCTAACTCTAATGTTTCATTAGCTTTCTATTATCTTAATTAATTTATATTCAACTTTTTAACTTGTAAACACATTATAACATTTTTAAATATGATAAATCCTTTGAATAAAAAGGTAAATATATACTATTTGAAGTTAAATATTTCTTTACTCCATCTCTATTTTATATTCCAACTTTTTGATAACTTTTAACATCAAATTATCACATATTTTCTATTAATTAATTATTTATTTGTATATTTTTATTAAATATGAATAAATGTAAAGAAATATGAATAGTCATATATTTAATAAATAATTTAAATACAATTTAATGTTTTTGTGCTGATGTGGACACTCTAGATGGAGAGAGCAACTCTCCTATTATATATAAGACTAGGACTTTTACCCGCGCACGCGCGGGTCTGTATCTTAAATCAGTTTAAAATATATTTAATTTTTTTTTTTAAACTGCAAAAATCAACAATTAAAATTTATCAATATTTCAATACCAAAACTCTCTGGAAAACAAAAGTTTTTAGATATATCAATATCGTATTGAGATCAAATCTTGACATACAAAAATATTGTTTAGATCATATCCCGGTAACAAAAATGTTTGTGTATGTCTAATGACCAAAACTTACTTGAAGATATTCAAATCATTATAATAGGACAAACTTACTTTATCACTAAACTTATTTGTAAAATGTAATGTTAATTTATGAACTATTGTGACGTGTTAGTCATTTTCTAAACAGAAATATATTTTTAAATATATTTAGTGAAATTCTTAAAATTAGATGTCAATAATATTTGTATATAACATGATGTTTATTTAAAATAACTTCAGTTGGTTATGTTAGAACTTAAAATGCTATAAATAACAATATTTGTATGTAATAAATTTAAGCTAGATGATAAACTAATATTTTGGTAAGTTTTCAATGGTTATAAAACCTAAAACCTAAATGAAGAGAAGCTAGTCGACACACATAATTGTTCTTCATTTTCTTCTTCGTTGTTGTTTTAAAGTTTTTTTTTAATTTTCTTTGATTCATTCTTTTTCAGTATCTTATGTTTTGTTTTCTTCTTTGTCTTTGGTCTTATTTGATTTCTTCTTCATTTTCACTCATCTTCGCGTTTGCTCTTCTTCGTCTTTGCTCTCTTTTTTTTTCTTCTTTTTTTTTGTTTTGTTTTGATTTGGTTTCTTCTCCTTTGTTCTTATTTTATTTCCTCTTTAGATTGGTCTTCGCAAGTTTTTTTGTTGTTGTTAGGTTTCTTCTCCTTCGTTCTTGTTCGAATTCCTCTTCAAATTGTTCTTCACAAGTTTTTAATATGGTTTTTCCTTATTCATCTTTGTCTTCTTTTGTCTCTATTTTGTATTCGCAATTCAATATCTTTGTTTTCGCTATTCTTCGGTTTTATCTTGGTACTCTTCTTTTTTGTGTCTACTTTTTTCTTCATTTTGTTTTCTCTTATTTCTGTAGGTTATTCTCGACCCTTAAAATTCTGCATGGTTCCATTCCTCTTGTAAAATTCTGCATGGCTCTATTCCTCTTAAATTTAGAATAAATTATAATTAAATAAAACACAATTTCGTTACCTGAAAAACTGAAAATAAAATCAAGCTAGAATGACTTATTGAACAAAATATATTCAAAACAGGCCCTTTGAATGTCATATGTAAATACTAAAATGAGAAGGAATTTATCTTATTCTGTTTTTAATAAATTTACTTTTGTTTATATTCCTTCTCTTTCAAGTGACATCTTTTAAAAGTACTACTTATAAACACATGAATATGTAAATATTACAAAACATTGAAAAACGAAGAAAAGAAAAATAGAAAAGGAACAAAATACAGCCTTCTATTGTGTTTGCCTTTTCCTTTCAATTTGTGTCATGTAATCATTATTCTGATTTTTTTTGTTTCTTCATAATCAATATTATTTTCCCCATCGAAAGCTTACTAATTTAGGAGCAACAATTCACTTTTGATTTAATCTACACTTTGGTAATTTCGATTCCTTGTTCTCTTCATAGTCCTTTGATTATTTTGTGGTAATGTAACTTATTTATTAATTAATTGGATGTGCTTCCATTATCAAAATACAAAGAAAATCAATTGAACACCATAGACCAGATAATATTCGAAATAAAGCAAGCGAATTTATTTATTTCACAGAAGGACATGTATACCTTCAGTGTGATGCCCATTGTCTTCGTTTCAATCATTCCTTTGCTTCATGATTTTTCATTAATTCACTACATATCCTTTAGAAGAATTGATCGATCTATGTGAACTTTCAATATGTGATGTCAAAGTATCTTGTCTTCAATATATATCCCTCCATCTTGCTTCCAGGTGGTTTCTCGATGTTGGATTTGTTTGATCTTATATCAAGCTCTGACGTGAACATATGTTTATTCATGTAAGCTACATTTGATCAAAATCGAGTTAATACAATTGTAGCTTTAGATGTTGATATATAATGATATTGTTGGTATAATTTTCTTATTTATTACATATCTCTACTAATATTACACTTATAAATTCTGGAAACTTTCCTATTGCTTAACTTTGAATTATGAAACTTTCTTAAAATATAAAAATATAAAAAGGAATTTAACTAATTGAACAAATAGCTAATTTTATGTGATGATGTGGATTGATACTATTGGTTGTTTAAAATTCGGAAACTTTCTTAATCTAGGAAATACTTATGTGGACCAATCAAATCGCGTTTTATAATCCTATGTGGACGCTCTCAGAGGCTTATAGCCTCAACTTTTATATAGTATAGATTACGTACACAAAAAATTACACTATTGCATAAATGACATAACTAATTACTTCTTGTTAATTGTTTTTTAGTTTGAAATTTCATGATTCCTTTATATGTTCAAATTGTGAGTTAACTTTCAAATAAAATCACAACATAATTTCTTTTTTTCATAGATAAATGCAAACAGTTGCGCTTATAGTTTTAATTTTTGATAGTCACAGAAAACAATAAAATGTTCTTTTAAAAAGTGAACATGCATTTATCTATGTAAACCGCAAATAATATGCATTTATCTTTTTATATGTATGATTATGAAGCAGCTGGTGGAGCAAGACGGGATTAACAAAACACCTTGATTTCGTCAGAGACCGAATAACAGAGAGTTATTTCTCGAGCGTTGGAGTAATTTACGAGCCCGGGTTTGCATATCACCGAAAAATGCTTACGAAAATCTTCATGCTTATTACCACCATCGACGATATATACGATATTTATGGGACACTGGAGGAGCTCCAACTATTCACGACCATAGTTGAAAAGTAATTAATAACACAATCTCTTACTTTGTTTCTTGTTTATATCTTCACTTAATCGATTTTATTTTTATGTAGATGGGATGTAAATCGTCTTGAAGAACTACCCGAGTACATGAAGTTATGTTTTCTCTGACTCATCAACAAAATCAATCAGATTGGATATTTTATCCTCAGAGATAAAGGAATTAATGTGATTCCTTACCTCAAAAAATCCGTACGTTTTCTCATCATTATCAATCGATTTAGCGATGTATTAAGTGGGCAAAATCTTAAAATCAATATGAATATTTATAAACCTTTTTCTAAATTCGTTATAAATTTATATTTTTTTTCTTCTTAGTGGGCGGATATGTGTACAGCGTTTTTAAAAGAAGCCAAGTGGCACAAAAGTGGTCACAAACCTAGCCTCGAAGAATACATGCAAAATGGTTGGATCTCAAGCTCTGTCCCTACAATACTTCTCCACTTGTTCTTCTCTGACCAAAGCTTAGACATTATTGTCTCCTACAACCACCATGTTGTTCTGCCACCATCCTCCGTCTTGCTAACGATCTCGCCACTTCTTCGGTCAGTCATGGTTAATTTCACACTTCCACAACCACAAGGCACAACAATAGTGGAGTATAAATTTTTAACATATAAAGATTCTTTTATATATATAAAAAAAGTACAAACTGCTTTTTTTTTTTTTCCATATCAAAGAAAGAAACTCAACCAGAAACAAGAAAGTCACTGACTTTTTTTTGTTTTTTGCTATTGACCTTTTCTTCAACAATTAATCTACAATCTATGATATAACTGCGCAAGATATGTAAATGTAAGAATGTGCAGGAGGAATTGGCGAGAGGTGACACTATGAAGTCCATACAATGTCACATGTACGAGACGGGAGCTTCTGAGGCAGAGGCACGTGCGTACATTCGACGAATGATCGGTGTCGCGTGGAATGACTTGAACTTGGAGAAAAAGAGTTGTTGCCTACATCCAGGTTTTGTAGAAGCTGCGATTAATCTTGGACGCGTGGCTCAGTGCGTTTACCAGTACGGTGATGGCCATGGCTGTCCAGATAAGGCTAAGACCGTCGATCATGTCCGGTCCTTGCTCGTCCACCCTGTTCCACTCGATTAATTAGTCTCACAATGTCGATAAGAATTAGATCACACAAACAATACTGGATTATCATCTTAACATTAAAAAAAAAAAACTGGATTATCTCAAAGAGTTGAGAGATGTAGATATATATAGTTCTCTCCTCAAATTATGATTTATGTACGTACACACAAATATATTAGCGTGTCATGTGTTATGTGATGATTATACATTAATTGTTTTAAAAAAAAAAAAAAATGTGGAAGTTCCAAGCCTTTGGCCCATAATCTCCTCCGTCACCTCTCACCACTTTAATCCTATAGTTTTTTTCATATTTAATTTCTCTTAATTTTTTTAATTCTTTCCACTTCAATCCTATCATTTTCAATATTTTTTCTTCGATACCACTGTATTTTTTATAAACCAAATGATAGATGATTACAAAAATAAAACGAAAAGAATGGAAAAAAAAAAAAGAGATCATAAGCTAATTACGCATGCAGTGATGTAATGTACACGTCAGCTGACACTAGAAAGTAGAAATATGATTTTGATCCGATTTTTGATAATTTCTAAAATTAGAAGTAATTAAAGGTTAATTATAGGCAACTTAAGCTAATAATACGGAAGGAAAAAAAATACATTACCGTTTCCATCTTCCCTCCATCCATTTTCTCTCCCCCTTTGGATCGAGATTTCAATCTCCGATCCATTCTTCTCTCTCAGCAAAAATCCCCAGATATCATCAAATCGCAAAGATCAAGGTACTTCGTTCGATACTCTTACTCTATTACACACATACACACAGACACGAATCCTCCGTTTCCAGAATTTGGGTTTTTGTTAGCAGTTTCTGGAAAATCTCAAAATGAATTCTTCGTTTTTTGTTGGATTATCATCAGGGTCGTTGATCTATTGCGAAATTAGGGTTTCTGAGTTTGAAGAACCTGACGGGATGCGTGATGGAAGAATTTTGATTTTCATGAAAATTTGAATTTAGGGTTTGCAATATTTGTAGACGGTGAAAGATGAGAAACCCTTTGAAGGAAATAATTAAGGGTTTCAGGAGACAAAGGATCAGATGGAGAAACGCGTTTCTCTTCGGTTCTATAATGACCACCATTGTTGTTCTGCTTCACACACCCATGTTGTCGATATTCCTTGATGATAATGAAGCAGATACTTCTTCGCCTGTTTACTTGAACGGTTCTCTGCATTTGAATATCCAAATTGTTAGTGAAGCAAAAGTCGAAAACTTTCGTGCTCTCACAGCAACTCCTATAGTGGAATCAAATTCTTCTTCTGGATCCATTATGGGAAAACAGGGAGATGAAGAAACCGGAACCGATCTTTCGAGAAAAAGACGGAAAAGGAAGAAAAGAAACAAGACAAAGGAAGAGCTTATCCTCACAGATCCTCCACCATCACCACCACATGTTCTTTCTTCGTCAGAGGTCAGGTGATATCAGAGGACTTTTAAGTTTCTTAATAGGTTTTAATATTGGTATGCAGTTTTTTAACGTTTTGATAACCTGATTCCGCTAATTTTTACCATTCATAATAGGGCAATTCTCATATATACCAGTAAATGCTATATGCCTTAATTAGTGCTATATGAAGTCTTTTCTCTTCATAGTATTCATCAATTTTTTACGTTTTCATGAAGTAATTTCATTATATACAACAAGCATGTTAAACTCGAAGAAAAAAACATGATTATATTACTAAAACTAAAATTTTCAGCATTTTATATTTTACGAAAAAAAAAAGATTGTTCAGTTTATTCTGCTACCAAATCATATGTTTACCCTACTTTTGTTGGATTGAGCAGAGACGTGCTCGTACATTACCACCAAAGGAAGCTTTATCTTATGCAAAACATGAGATTCAACGAGCTCCGCTGGTCATAAATGACAATGATCTATTTGCTCCGGTGTTTCGCAATCTTTCAGTTTTCAAAAGGTACGAATTTACAATTTCAGAAGGCTTTTGAGTGCATGCCTTGGAACCGAAGTTATTACCACAAATGTTTTCTCCACCTTTTTTTCCCCAGGAGCTATGAGCTTATGGAACTAATACTCAAGGTCTACATATATCCTGACGGCAAAAAACCAATATTCCACACACCGCATTTGAACGGTATCTACGCATCAGAAGGTTGGTTCATGAAGCTAATGGAGTCAAACACACAGTTTGTCACAAAGAACCCTGAGAAGGCTCACTTGTTCTACATGCCATATAGTGTGAAACAGCTTCAGCATGCCATGTTTGTCCCTGGATCACATAACATCAAACCTTTATCGATCTTTCTAAGAGATTATGTCAACATGCTCTCCATCAAATACCCGTTTTGGAATCGCACTCACGGATCTGATCATTTCATCGTCGCTTGCCACGATTGGGTATCTAAAAAACGTTTCTTTCTTTGAAAGAATTAACAGTCACTTTTCGATATGTCTCTTGTTTGTGTTATCTCTGTTTTCCAAAACCATTCTTGTGCAGGGTCCTTATACGGTGAACGAGCATCCAGAGCTAAGCCGAAACACTATAAAAGCTCTATGCAACGCAGATCTATCAGACGGAGTATTCGTCCCCGGAAAAGACGTTTCTCTCCCGGAAACTTCCATAAGAAACGCCGGGAGACCGCTTCGTAACATCGGAAACGGAAACAGAGTTTCTCAGCGTCCGATCCTAGCTTTCTTCGCCGGAAACCTCCACGGTCGTGTCCGTCCACAGCTTCTAAAACACTGGAGAAACAAAGAGGAGGGCATGAAAATCTACGGTCCGCTTCCACACAACGTAGCTCGGAGAATGACTTACGTGCAACACATGAAAGCAAGCAAATACTGTTTATGTCCGATGGGTTATGAAGTAAACAGTCCAAGAATCGTCGAGGCTATATACTACGAGTGCGTCCCCGTAGTGATCGCCGATAACTTTATGTTACCGTTCAGCGAAGTTCTTGATTGGTCGGCTTTCTCGGTGGTTGTTCCAGAGAAAGATATTCCACAGCTGAAGGAGATACTGTTGGGGATTCCTATGAGGAGATATCTGAAGATGCAGAGGAATGTGAAGATGGTTCAGAGACATTTCTTATGGAGCCCTAAACCTAGAAGGTTCGATGTGTTTCATATGATACTTCACTCCATTTGGTTTAACCTTCTCAATCAGATCCAAACTTCTTCTAATCATGATCCCGATTCCTGACATCATCCTTAGTTATGATTTGTATATATATATGTATGCACTGGAAAAAAAATTATCAAGAAAATATTTTGCATGAAAACGGGCTTGTTCTTAGGCTGTAAACTCATATTAAATCCTCTATCTTATATATAACTAGGAAGTGACCCGCGCTTCACGCAGGAATTTATACTATTGTGTTAATTTTATTGTTTTTCCGCAAATTTAGTTTATTTTTATTGTTTATTGTTGTTTCAAAAATATTACACATATTAATTACAATTAATTAGGATTAGGCGAATTTAACATACCGTCTTGTCCCATTGTATCCCATTTCGTTCATTTTCATCATGTTCGTTCTTTCCCGTCTCATTCGTCCTGTCTGTCCCGTCTCATACACTACAAAAAAAAGTGTGTATTGTATCATTTAATTTGTATCACAAAACTGAGTGATACTGTTTTACATCACTTATAAACAAATGAAACAAATATACTTAGTTTAGTATCAATTATAATAATTGATGTTATGATTAATTAGTTTGGCATCATTTCAGACAAATTGATTCAATTTTAGTTAGTTTGTATCACTTAAAACAAAACTGATACTAAAATCTAAATTTACGTCAATTAGATGATCGATGTAATTAGTATTATATGTTAACATCACTTATAAAAATGATCTTAACTTTATATCAATTTAAAATGATGCTAATTAAAACTATCCTAATAAACTTTAAAAAAAATTACATGAGTTATTTAGGTCAGACCCATTAATTTGTCTTAAGTTAATTAAACATTTATGATTTGGAATTACGTGTTTAAAATTTATGATTTATACAATTATATTAAGTGTTTAAAAAGTAAAATATGTATTTAAAATATTCATGAACTTCCATAAAAGTACATAATATTTTACTATGGGTTATATGTGAGATGTAAAATGGCTTCAGCTGGGCATATAGCCGGCCCAAACAATTGTCGATAATGAAATTGTCAATGTGAGTAATGATTTTTTTATAACTAATTAGTTTGAGAAAAAGAACTGGGCCTTTCCTCTCAGCCGCCGTTTAATCCTTTGACATATGAAGCTCTCTTTCCACCATTTTCAGCTCGTAAGATCTATCTGATTGAATCAACTAATTTGAATTTCAATATAACAAATCCATCTTCTTTCTTCCTCGATGGTTTGGTTTTTAAACATCTACAATCTTAAATTTTTAATTGAAACTTGGTCTATCTTCGTTTCAGCTCCTGATAAATTATTAAAGTTCTTGGCCGCAACGCAACGGAGGCGTTGATCTCACCGGTTGAACAATACAAACCACAGATTATGTAAGCTTTTCATCTCATTTATAAATTAGTTTTATACTTGCCTCTGGTTCAATTTTTTTATTCTAGTAATGAAGATTAATTGGTACAATTTTCTTTTTCATATAAGAAGTAGGATCTTGTTTTAAGGAAATTTTGCATATAAGCTGATGGATTATTGAATCTCACATCCATGTTTAAATGAATGTAGTAGCTAAATAATTGGGCATACCCTCTTCGCGTTTAAAACTCTTATCTACTTATTTTTGTAAGGAGCAATTGGTAGAAGCAAACAACATGTTGTCTTCTTGGTTACATTCATCGGATCCAATAAGCTTCACTATCGGACCCTAGCTTTAGTTAATTATTACACCAACACAACACCTCTAAATTAAATTAGCTATATCTGATTCTTCTATTACTTACGATCTTCTTCTTCTTTTCAATTTATCTTTTTTTTCGTTATCAAATTCTTCAAGTGGAAAAGGGGAAGATTTAGCTTCACTCCATCCATCCAAATCCAAAAACTCTTTACGTTTAATGCCATCTTCATCATCTTTCTTTTCCAAATTTCTTTGGAGGAACAGTTTCAGAGACACCGAGAAACCAAAATTTGTATACAATTAGGTAACCTGTTAATACTCAATTGTTTTGATATGTGTGATTTTATTTACTCTGGAGTTTAATGATTGATACTGAAATCAAAACCTTAAACATAGAGGGTAAAGTGTTCATTATTATAAATTAAATCCATGCTATATATTATCATTGTTTATCTTATTAAACAATTTAAAAACCCCAGCTCTACTATCAAGCATTGAGAATTATCGGAATAAAATCCAAATTCAAGGTAGAATGTGGAGACATCTAATGAGTAAACAGATACATTAGAATGATATTGATTTGAACTTTTCAAGGTTTTGAAGTTAATGGTTGTTTTCTGAATTTCTAAAACTTACAGATTGTGCATTTTCTTTTTTTTAGGTTCTCATGGATAAGTCATGGATAAACAAACCACATTTATCTCAAGATTACAAATTAGGAGTGAAAAGCTTCTTGGATTTTGCATTTGGCAAATCAACTGCACTGGTGATGAAATGTCCATGTAACCGTTGTTCTCTGGTCAAATCTAAGTCAAGAGAAGATGTCGAAGGTGATTTAATGTGCTTTGTTTTTTTAAATACTTACACAAGTTGGTACCTACATGGAGAGGATGTATGTGTCACAGAGACTGCTCAAGTGCCTTCTGATATTGCTCAAGTTGAATCGGATTCAACTGTGAATCTCTTGGATGATCTTTTTCCTAATAGTGATACGAATATGCATGGTGGTGATGAACCTGGATCGTTTGAGCATACTATGGGTACTGATAGGCCATCAACTTCAAGTGGAAATTGTGGAGAAGGGGAAGATTTTGATGAGCTGTTTGCTGATTTTAATCAAGAGCTATATACAGGATGCACTAAGTTCACGAAGTTGTCCTTTCTATTGAAGCTATACCATATCAAATGCATGTGCGGGATTAGTGATAAGGGGATATCCATGGTGCTTGATTTGCTGAAAGAAGCATTTACACATGCCAAACTGCCAGACTCCTTTAATGGCATGAAAAAGGTTATTCGCAAATTAGGATTGAACTACAAGTCAATCCATGCATGTCCGAATGATTGCATGTTATATTGGGAGGGAGATGCAGAAAGGGAGGATTGCAAAGTTTGTGAAGCTTCTCGCTGGAAAGTTTCTGAAGCTTCTCGCTGGAAAGTTTCTGAAAAGAGTACAGTCTCTGGATCAGAAAATATAACAAAGAAAGCTCCTGCAAAAGTTTTGCGTTATTTTCCTCTAAAACCACGGCTGCAACGTTTATTCATGTCATCAAAGACGGCTAAACACATGACATGGCATGTGACTGCTAGTAACAGTGATGGTAAGCTTCGACATCCAAGAGACGGATTGGCTTGGAAGGCATTCGATCAAAAATATCCTGAATTTGCATCTGATCCGAGAAATGTCAGACTAGGCTTGGTGACTGATGGTTTTAACCCGTTTGGTACAATGAGTAGTAGTCACAGCATATGGCCAGTTATACTATTTCCTTATAATTTTCCACCTTGGATGTCTATGAAGCAGACATCAATGATCTTGTCTATGGTTATCCCTGGAAAGCACATGCCTGGGAATGATATAGATGTCTACTTGCAACCACTTATCAAAGAGTTGAAGGAGTTATGGTCTGATGGGATTGAAACACTAGATTCCTCCACAAAACAAAGGTTTAACATGCGAGCAGCGATCATGTGGACAGTTAGTGATTTTCCGGGTCTTGGAAATTTGTCTGGGTGGAATACGTATACGACATTAGCTTGTCCAAGCTGCAATTATGAAGGCATCGGACAACGTTTACGCCATGGGAGAAAAAACTGTTTTATTGGCCATCGTCGTTTTCTCCCTCAAGATCATGACTTTCGTCAAAATGAAACAAATTTTGATGGAAAAATAGAAACCAGAGCTCCACCAGGTACGATTTCAGGTTCTACAATTATTCATCAGCTAGAACAAGTTAATGTTAGACTTGGTAAGAAACCTCGTGTATTTGGAGTGGGAAAAAAGAGGGCTCGAAGTGTTGGTGAAAGTTCTGGTACTCTACAATGGAAAAAAAAAGTATATTTTTTGAGTTGCCTTATTGGGAATTTAATATGCTGCGCCATAATCTGGATGTAATGCATATAGAGAAAAATGTGTTTGACAATCTAGTTTACACATTATTGGATGACAAAGACAAATCGAAGGATAATCTGAATGCTAGAAAAGATCTCTGTGAGTTGGGTATACGTTCTGAATTGTGGCCTGTTGATAATGAGAAGTATCAAGCAGCATGTTTTACTCTGAACAAGGAAGGCAAAGACATCTTCTTAAGTGTCTTAAAGAATGTAAGACTCCATGATGGTTATGCTTCAAACCTATCAAGTTGTGTTGATGTGTGTAGTGGAAAGCTATCAGGCTTGAAAAGCCACGACTGTCACGTGATAATGAGAGATTTATTCTCAGTTGCTATTCGGAATCTGCTGCCGGAAAATGTGAGATCAACCATTATCGAGCTTTGTCAATTTTTTAGAGATATATCTGCCAAGGTCCTTGATATCGATGAGCTTGATAAATTACAAGACCGTGTTGTCTTGATTTTATGTCGCATGGAGATGTTTTTTACTCCGTCATTTTTTACGGTGATGGTACATTTGATCGTACATCTCACAGAAGAGGCAAAGTATGGAGGGCCAGTTCCATTTCGTTGGATGTATCCCATTGAGAGGTGATTTTTGTTTCTTTTTATTCCTACTATATACACAACAACAACGTGATATTTACATAATTCATTATATGCAGGACTCTAGGACACATCAAGTCATATGTTCGGAATCGCGCTAAGCCTGAGGGTTCTATATGTGAGCAATATTTGGCTGATGAGTGTATCACATTTTGCTCAATGTATCTCGATGATATAGAGACAAGATTTACTCGGGTTGGCCGCGTTGATGATTGACCTGCAGCTGAAACTAGCATAAGACCAAACTCTGAACTTTTACGTATTTTCCCAAACATCGGAAGATTTGTTGGAGCAGGTCGGGTATATACTCTTAATTATCTAGAGAGACAACAAGCTCATCGTCATATATTGGTCAACTGTCAACTACTTGATCCATTACGAGAGTAAGTTTCTCTCAATCAAGAACAACTTGTTTTAATTAGCTTTGATTGATATTTTTGCTAATTTATATACTTTGCTAATTAATGTTTGTGTAGGAAGTACAAAAATGAGCTATGGATGCAGAACTCTCAACTAAACAGAAGGAATCGTGCTATAGACATTGATCGAGAAATGCATCTTAATTTTGCAAAATGGATCAAACAGAAAGTAGAGATGAATGAGATAGACGGGATTACTGATGATTTGCGATGCTTAGCTCTTCGTCCATCAGAACAAGTTGTGAAGTATACAGCTTACAATGTCAATGGTTTCAAATTCCGGACAACAAAAAGAGATTCTAGCCTGAAAACACAAAATAATGGTGTTTATGTGGCTGCTGAGACTATGAGCTATGCTAGTTCTCGTGATCCAAATCCTAGAGCAGGTATTGTACCTTACTATGGAAATCTGGTCGAAGTTATGGAGTTAAATTACTATGAGGTTTTCAGAGTGGTATTATTCAAGTGTAAGTGGGTTAACACTTGTACGGATCGAGGATATAAAAACAGATGCATATGGACATCGTATGGTAAATTTTTCTCGCTTGTTGCACATTGGTGATAATGAAGAGGATGAGCCATATGTATTAGCTTCTCAGGCCAGAATGGTATATTATATTGATGATCCTTGCATTGTAGAATGGAAGATCGCTGTTCACATTCAGCCTAAGGATGTTTATGATATGGGAGATCCAAATGATTCAGAATAAACTGATGGTGAATCCGATCCTGGCATCTATATATGTTGCTTCCTATGAAAATGTTTAGTGTCTTCGTATGTGGGTGTCAGTTTTCTTTCCACAGAATCATAATCTCTGCTTATCTTTATTTGTTTAAACAAATTTGAACGTGTAGTCTAAGTTTGGAATTGTTTTATGTGGTTGCTGGTTTACTTTATTTTTTTTGTTTATCATGTGACTATGTTCTTGGAATTGCTTACTGTTTTTTTTTTAAACTTAGAAAACCTGCAACTTTGAGATCTTGTTGTTGGTTCACTGTTTGTTCTTAGTATGTACTGAAAAGAACTCTGAAACTTTCGATAATGTGTTGGTGAGTACTATGTTGGTGATAATGACTCATGAATTGTGCCAACCATTAAGATCCTTCAATTCCTTGTTTCTTTTCTAATCTTAGGGTTGCCTCTTGGTATCTGTTCTTACACTAAGACTCCTTCTTGATGACTGTTTGAGCTTCAGGGTCAGGGTTTGCCTCGTAGTATTCTAAGTAGTATTAGTATTTAAAGTAAGGTTCATATTCAAAATAGGATCCATATTCAGAATATGATTCATATTCAAAATAGGAACCATATTCAGAGTAGGACTCCTATTTAAAGTAGGAGTCATATTTAAAATATGATTCAGTGCACACCTTTCTTGTCTTAATCCATTTACAACGCTAAACTTGAAAAAAAATTGAAAACATCACTCACTCACAAACTAGTCTAAAGTCTTTGTCTTTGCACTAACTTACAAAAATCAGCAACGTGTAAAAGTAGAGAAGAAAGAAACTGATAAGCTTTTGCCTCCGGTGAGTACCTAATTAAATCCCAATCCTCCTTTCTCTTTGATATGACTTATATATAGGTTTTCGATGGTTAATTGGTTTTCCCTTTTTATTTAATACTTACAAAATAGAAAAATACTACATATATTGAATAAACCATTATGTGGCAGATAAAATAAATCCTACTAATATATATTTTTCAGATCCCACTAAATCTTGTTCTGCAGCGGGAAATAGTTTAATATTAAGAAACGGTTATTTTCACCTCTAATAAATTGACTACATGGATTTAATTAGGTCTCTAAACAACTTTCTCTGGGAAACCGTCGACGATCGAGCTCAAAAATTGGAATTCACATCTCGCACAACTGATCAGGTAATTTAACTCATCTATACCTTAACTGATCAAGTCTAAAGCAGGTTTTGTGGATCTTAGAAAGTTTTAGATTCTTTACCTTTCATTTAACTTTGAGAATCTATGTGTAAAGCGGGTTTTCTGAATCTCACAAACTTAACTCGATCTCTAAAGTTCAGAAGGAATATATGAAAACGTATAGATTCTGAAATCGAGTTCTATAAATACATTTCTATTGTGCTACAATTTGAAGAGAAAGGTTAATGTTACTGTAATGAAGAAACATGTAATGCGTAATATTAAGTCAAATTGAGGTTGATAGTAAGATTTGAAGAGCCTAGATATTTAATGTCACTAAAAATGTTTTTGTCGTCTTGTATGCACATGTGGATGTTGGTTTTCTTTTTACATAATCGTAGTCACTATCTTTATTTGTTTGATCGTATAGTCTAAGTTTGAAATAGTTTTATGTGGCTGCTAGTTTTGTTTATTCGTCTGCATATGTATTAGCAACTGGCTAGCTCTTGGAATTGGTTACTGTTTTATTTTTTAGAACTTAGAAAATTTGGGGCGTTTTAGTTAACATGAAAACCTGCAACTTTAGTTCTAGGCTTGACAGTGTCTGTGTGATTAATGATTGCTTTGTTTTTGTTCACCATGATTAGAGTCATGGATTTCCTAGATACAGAGACACAATCACCTGAGGATTCACTGAATTGGGAAACAGATTTCGATACCCCTCCTCCACTTGCTCCTCAATGCAAAAGTTTCAAATGGAAAATTAATGTCATAGGTAATATATACGAAGTTGGTTTCATTGAAGTTATTAGAAATTTATTATAATTCAAATTTGTTCTAACATATTTGCTCATCAACAAGATACTAATGGAAACATAGAAGGTAAAATGCTAACATCTAAAGATGTCTGGAAATTGCAAAATAGCAAAGTGATTGTGCATTTCGATGAAGATAGTGGCCAGCCAATTGGAGATTCTGCAGGCTTACTTGGATCATGGTTAGGTCAGTTAAGCAATGACGTGAACTTAATACCCATCAACTACAGTGATTAAAGGTCGGTTAGTCCTCACATAAAAGAAAGGGCATGGGAAGTTGTTCAGGTAACATCTATCATCGATTTATCACTATATTTAAGCAATGACCTTAACTTAAGACAGCATATTGACCACTCATTGTATATGTTGTTATTTCAGCCCAAATTTCGGTTCGATGATCCGACGGTGAGAAAAGAATATGTCACCAGTACACTAGGAAGCAGATGCAAGGATGTCAAACGACGTCTTTGGGGAGAGTACAGCAAAGATACTCGAAGTGAAACAGTGCAGAATCGACCAGATAATGTTCCTGAAGATCAGTGGTTTCATTTTGTTCACATGAGATTCACTGAAAAGTGGAAGGTATAGTTTACTCGTTGGATACTTATCTGTAGATGTATGTCTCTGTATCAAATGCCAATTTTTTTTTTTTTTAAATGTGAATTTTCAGAGAATGCAAGAGCGGAATACGATCAACCAAAAATACAATACCATGCCTCACTTATGCGGAAGAAAGAGTTTTCCTAGGAGAAGAAATGAGATTGTGAGTACCTTAATTGTGATATAAAACTAGTCTATTATATATGCTGATTCAATTATACTGATATTGTATATTGTTTATGCATGTTTTTTAATGAAGAAAATCAAGACCGGAAAAACACCATGTCGAGCTGCGTTTTTCATTGAGACTCGTACAAAACCTGATGGAAGTTTTTCCTGTGAGGAGGCCAAAACACGAGCGGTCAGTTTTTTTTATAATCACAATTGGTTGACTATAGTTTTGAATTATGTTGGATACTTATATTTTGTTTTATATTTTGTTGGTTTTCTTTAGGAAGAACTTACCATGGTAATGAGTCAAAACCCACGACCCACAACCAATGTTTCAGCTAGTTTGGATGATGAATATGCTCAAGTGTTTGGTCCTGAGCGTCATGGACGAGTACGTTGTGTAGGTCGTGGACCTACACCTTCAAAGTTGGTGAGACGCTCTACTGTAACTAGGACAGAGATAGAAAATTCTGAAATAGTTGTTCAGCTGAAGACAGAATTGGATGGCTTAAGAAATGAAGTTAAGGGAATGACTACGTTCATCCAACAATTAATTGGTACATCAACCGTTGAACAGGTAATTTACTGAATATCTTCTAAGTAAATTTTTCTTATTGTAACTGATGAGTCTAAGATTAATATGTTAAACTATATAGGCAACTGCATTGGCTAGAGCTTTTGCAAACATACCAAATCCACGTCCCACTAACATACCGAGGCAGCACTTTGCCCAAAAAGGGACTGCTAAAAAAAAACGTCGTCGTTTAACATAAATAATTCTGTAAAAAAAATTAAACGGGCTACCCGAATTAAAATTGTTCAGGCCCGTTAGTAATCGGGCTTTAGTAAATATGCCCATTTGAATTTAAAATTTTTATAAACGGGTTCGGGCTTAAAAATCATACAAAAGGCCCGTTTAGACCTGCGGGCTTAGAGGCCATATTAACATCACTAGTCCCGTCTCGTCCTATCCCATTATGTTCCTTTCCATTTTGTTATCTCCCATCATGTTCCTTCAGTTTCTTCTCGTCCCGTTCCCTAAATATAACTAAGGATAGACAAAATTCTCGTATAGTCCAACCTATCCCATTTCATTCCTTATCATCTTGTCTTGTTCCGTCCTATCCGCCCTATCGAGTCCCATCCTATCCTGTTATATTATTTTTCCCGTTTTGTCTTGTCTTTGTCCGGTCCCTAAATATAATTAGGGGTACCTGAAATTTATGTCATGTCCCTTCTCGTCCCATTATGTCCCTTTCATCCCGTCCTGTCTAATCCCGTCTCATTCCGTTTTTCATCTCGTCATGTCTAATTTGTCTGTTTCGTCTCGTCCAATCTTATCCGATTTCTCTCGTTATGTTTTTTTCGTCTCATCATGTCCGGTCTCGTCTCATTTCATCCCAAAATAGTTAAAAAAAATCAGTGTTTTTATGTTTATTGTTTTTCCTCAAATTTAGTTTATTTCTATTGTTTATTATTGTTTCAAAAATATTACACATATTAATTAAAAATAATTAGGATTAGGCAAAATTAACGTACTGTCTTGTCTCATTGTATCTCATTTCGTTCATTTTCATCATGTCCATTCTTTCTCGTCTCATCCATCCTGTATGTCCCGTCCCGTCCTATCCCATTATGTTCCTTTCCATTTTGTTATGTCCCATCATGTTCCTTCCGTTTCTTCTCGTCTCGTTCCCTAAATATAACTAAAGGATAGACAAAATTCTTGTATAGTCCCATCCGTCCCATTTCATTCCTTTTCATCTTGTCCCGTTTTTTTCCCTCGTCCCGTTCCGTCCTGTCCGCCCTATCGAGTCCCATCATATCCTGTTATATTTTTTTTTCCGTTTTGTCTTGTCTCTGTCCGGTCCCTAAATATAATTAGGGGTAGGTGAAATTACTGTCCCGTCCCTTCTCGTCCCATTATGTCCCTTTCATCCCGTCCCGTCCAATCCCGTCTCATTCTGTTTTTTATCTCGTAATGTCTAATTTTTCTTCTTATCTTGTCTAGTCTTATCCCAAAATCTAAAATCAGTGTTCTTTTTATAACATCTTGACATCAATGTAAATTATATAATCTAGTAAAAATAAATTTACTAAATAATAGTTTTCTAGATTTATACATAGTCTTTCTTCTTTTTTTAAAGTGACTTTTCATATTTTTTGTTAAACTTATTATAGTAATGAATGCTAATTATTATGAAATTAAAATATTAAAAAGAAAAAATATAATAAATTAAAGAAAGTGCTGATGTGGCAAAATGAAGAATTTAGAAGGTATGAGAAGAGAAAAACATGAACTTTATATATATAGATTAGGGAGTGTTCTCTCCATCTAGAGTGTACATATCAGCTTTATTTATTAAATTGTATTTAAAATATTTATTAAATACATGACTATTCATATTTCGTTACATTTATTCATATTTTAAATAAATATAAACAAAACTAAAAAAATAGATAAATAAATTAATTAATAAATATATAGTATATGATAACTTGATGTTAAAATTATCAAAAAGTTGGAATATAAAATGGAGATGGAGTAAAGAAATATATTTTTTATTCAGAGAATTTATCCTATTTAAAAATGTTATAATGTGTTTGCATGTTAAAAAGTTGAATATAAATTAGTTAAGATAATAAAAAGCTAATGAGAAATTAGAGTTAGAGTTTGTTTTTTAAACAAACAGAAGAGTTTTTATATGTAAATTTAGTTGCAATGAAAAACATGACATTTTTAAAGATTATGAAATGTTTGTTTCAAAAATATAATTTATATTTACAAAATTACTATAATAGAAAATAATAAATGGTGATGAGGCTCACATGCTACCACAACAAAGTAGATATGTAAAAAAGTATATGTATTATTTTTTTCATCTTCTTTCGGGTGCAAATGCGGATTTTACATTATGTTTACAAATTTTAACGTTGAGTCAAATGTATATAAAATTGTAGCATGTTATAAAATTTTAACGTTGAGTCAAATGAATATAAAATGTTTGTTTATTAGAATATTAACACTCCAGTTTATCTCGAGTTTTCTATTTCTAAAATTGTAGCATGTTATAAAATTATGTTTGTTTACTTCTATTAGACTATATATATTATAATATAGTCTAATAAACTAACGTTTGTTAATATTCTAATAAACTAAAATAAATAAATAAATAAAATGTTTATATTTTTGAGTGTTAGTGGTTGGGTTGACTCAAAAAAATAACAAAAACATGAAAGTAAAAAAAAAATCATCATAATTCAAATCAACAAGTATAAATAAAACTAAACTAAAAAATTCTCGCAAATAACCCCGCGCTTGCGGGGGCTTCAAACCTAGTATATTAAAAAAAAGAAACATTGGAGAACCATTTTGCTGTTGTGTGATCCCCACAATTTTTATAAGCTATTTGTATTTTTGATTTAATTAATTCTTTTGTATTTATTGCTAAATATAATTAATTTCATTGTTACCTATTTTGATTACTCAATTTCTATTTGGGCTGTTTTCACTTTTGATACAAGATTTGGGGTCAAATACAAAAGTACTCCCCCATAGCAAAATTCGTTTTTTCTTCATTCTCTATCCTCACCATATACACATAATAACGAAAATGCCATTATTGTTTCCTATGAAGTCTAACTGTGAAGTTTAAATCAAAAAATAAATGTCTAAGAAAACCTCATCTTCTTCACTTAGTCACAAAAATGTCATCACCATCAATTCATCCAATAATCAATCTCAACCGAAATCAAGCTTTGAATGTATGATTTACTCTTCAAACATATCTACCGACTCATTCTATCATCTCATAAACTTATCATCTTCAAATTCTTCTCCATTTTTACCCTCAAAACTTAGTTTTTCATCTTTTCAAAATTATGTTCTTGGATCTTGCCATTTTTGGTGTGTGAATTCATTCTAACGGTTGGGGAAGTTTGTTGAAGTTCTAAATTGAAGTTATGGGCCATCAACGTAACTTAAGATCACGGTAAGGTAAAAATTCTGTCGATTTGAGTGAATGTCACATATTTGCCGTGAAGTATACTTCATTATGATGTCTACTGGTCAACGAACATATTAGTTTTGCAATTGACCAAAAAATATTTTCGAGAGTAGACTTCACAATGAAGTATGCACCAAATTCCTTTTGAAAACAAAAAATATGGTGTAGACTCGAAACAGATTAGTTTTACATTTGGCCGAGTAAAATCTTTTTAAGAGAAGTCTAACGGTGAAGTTTACTTAAAAAACAGACTAGTTTTGTAGTTGACCACTTGTGAAGTCTACTAATAAAGTCTATTTAGGTTGTATTAGACTTCACAATGAAGTCAACTCACGAGTAGACTTCATTGTGAATTCTAATACTCCCTCCATTTTTTTAAGATGAATTTTCTAGAGTTTTCACACATATTAAGAAAAAGTTGATTTTCAATCATTAGTGTATAGATTTTGGCAATAAAACAACTTTCTATAAATTTAGACCAATAAAAATCTAACAAATCCAATTATTGTTTCTTGAAAACTGAAAAAGTACTTCAAAAAGCTAAAAATTTTATCTTTGTGAAACAACAAAAAATGTCCAGAAAATTCATCTTAAAAAACGGAGGGAGTATATGGTAGACCTCTGGTTGAAGTCTACTGGTCAACGTTTATCGAAGTAGACTTCGCAGTGAAGTCTACTTTCCAAAGTAAAAAAATCGGTCGATTGCAAAACTAACCCATATGAAGTCTAGTTCTTGTCATAGACTTCACCGGTATACTTTACAACGAAGTTAGACTTCAAACTGAAGTCTATTCACGTTAATGAAGACTATTCGGAAAAGTCAAAGTTTGGTCAAGTGCAAAACTAACTTTTTTTTTTTTTTTTTAAGTAGACTTCTCAAAAAAGTTTATGTTTAGTCAATTACAAAACTAATCTATTAGACTTCTTTGTGAAGTCTATTTGTGAAGTCTACTATTTAACATTTTTTTTAAAACACATTTTTGAAAAATCATCTATACTATTAAAGGAGAGGAAGAAATTAGAAAACAACCTTAACAATGTGTCTATCCCTGTTTTCAAACACTCCTAAATCCGGAACTAACACCAAAATTAAGAAAAAACCCGACCTGATCCCTGAAATTAAACACGTGGATCTTGAGAAGGAACTTAAAACAAACCGGCACCAAGATTTCGATTTAAAAACAAAAAATGTGGCAATCAATTCAAGGCAAAACCGGAAAATCATTTCAAGATCAAAACAGTATATTCAAAAATTCAGAAAACAACCATAACCAACTATCTGTAATAACTACCAGACTAGGGTTGGACCCGCGCCCTGCACGGGGTGAAATTTTCTTATTTAGTTTTATTACTATCAGATTTCTTTTTACATAAGTATCATTCTAAAAACATAGGGTGTTAGACAATAAAAATAATGTTAGTTTACATTAGACAAAATTTTGAGTGATGTATATTGGTTTAGCATGAATTGGAACATGACGAAATATTAAGTGACACAGTTGAATCCATATATATCAAATTTTAATAAGTTTGAAATAGTTTTATATTTGATAAATATAAAATGGCATCTATATTTAATGTT